TCTGAAATAATGAATGCAAAAAAGCCCTTTAAAGCAAAGCGCGGCACACCCAAATATGATATGAGCAAGCTCAAGATCATAAAGCCGATGGATGACGAATGATGACTTAATTTAATTATCAAATCATTATTTTCTTTTGTTTTTTATATGGGTGAGAAACAAAAACTTATTAATGATGTATATTTTGATCGTGCGGGGTTTGGTTCAAAAAGCCGGACTTTAGAAGAAGCGCGGGAGAAAGACAAAACCATCACAATGTCTGATATTAACGAGTTTTTTAGGAAGAATGTTGATCAAAAGCGAAAGCCCGTCGGTTCAAATAGCTTTGTCGCCCCGCATTCCGCATATGAGTATCAGATGGTTTTTTTATTAATGACTTGAAAGATCAAAAATTTAGAGTAGGAGTGTTAATGATTGATATATTTGATAAGTTTATGCATGTCGTGGCAATTAAAGGCAAGAAGGAAGAAGATTTAGCGAGTGGGATGATTGAGTGCTTACATAAAATGGGGAAGAAGCCCAAACTAATTTATACCGACGACGAAGGAGCAATGAACACGGAGGCAATACAAAAGTATTTGCAGGAACAGAACATAGAACACTATAGAACTAGGGCACACGCAAATTTCAGCGAGAGGGCCATTAGGACGTTCAAAGATTTGTTATATCGTAGAGTTGAAGCCGATCAGAAAAAGGGTAAGAACAATATTCAGTGGCCGGATTATATTTTTGAAATATTTTCAACATACAATAATAAAGTGAAACATTCCACTACTGGTTTCACCCCAAAGGATGCCAGAAAACAGAGTAACGAATTCAAAGTTAAACTGGTGTCGGGGATGAGGTTAAAATATTTAGGAAGAGGAAACCCAATGAAAAAGAGAGAGTGGGCAATTTTAGCCAAAATGTTTATACCATAGAAAGAACTGATGAAAAACTGGGTCAAAAATATTATTATTATGTTGAAGGTATTGATAGAGCGTATTTGCGCTTTGAGTTGTTAAAAGTTTAATTTTCTTTTGATAAAACACTTTCTTAAGAAAAATACCTAAAGAAATAACACCTATACATATTAACAGGGAAATGTTCACTCAGAAAGAACAGGATGAAATCATAAATGATTTTTTGGATGTTATCAAGGTTCGCGACTACATCAGGGAAAGTAGGGAAAAGAGGGATAAGTGTAAATGTAGGGATTGTAAAAAACATGATCGTTATCGCACTTATACGAATTGCCACTACCAGAGAATATTATTAATAATATCTATGGCTTTACTTATCGGTGTTGGACATGCGAAAGGATTATAGAAAAACAGCAAGAATTAGAAGAACGACTTGAAACTAATGATTTATGCTTATATGATGTTGATAAGCTTATTTTAAGCTTAGAACGCTTGTTTCCGATGTATGATTCAGTCAAACACGTGATAACAAACATAACTATGATGATATACAACATGTTCGAGAAATTATTTAATGAAATGATGTTTTGTAGAGACAAAGAAGGGATAAACACATGGACACAGTATAAAATGAAATATAATGTTAATGCTACAGCATATGATTTCAACAAAATCGTTAGAATACTATTGAATAAACCTGAGTTTGACTGAATGGGTTAAACAACCATAACATTATCATATTCATAATGTTATGGTTGATGCCGTCGTGCAGTCACGCGAGGCTCTGGCGAGCATCCTAAACCCTAAACGTTCACTACACCCGAGTTGTCAAACTT